TGTCACAAAAATGAAGTGGTCGCGATGGCTATTTTCACCACTCAAAATACATCCACACACAAACGACAGCACAGATCTCTGCCAAGTTGTTTATTTTATCTCCGATGTATGTTAGCAATATTGTAAAGAGTGAAATCTGGCAATTAATTGTAAAGGGAAGAAAATATTGACTCTCAAAGTTAATCCAGCTGCACCATGCTTTCTGAGAACCATCCATGTACAAATTGGACTTCTTCAAAAGAGGCTTGCTTTCATGTGTAAAAGTCATAACTTGGATTTTATACAGATAATATTGTATATGATGATATTTTAGCTAAGGCATGCTGATGTGGTCAGATCCTGTGCTTGAGTGGGTTATGCAATGCACATCAAGAACTCACACACACGCACACACACACACACACACACACACACACACACACACACACACACACACACACACACACACACACACACACACACACACACACACACCCAGGTTAGCATTGCTCGAGGGGCACTTCTGAATGAGTTCTGAGTATGTGTGTGTTCTCCTGTCGCCCCCTTCACCCCACACAAAAGGGCATAAAAAGCCCTACGAAGTCTACTATTCATCTGAAGTACAATGGAACCCCACAGAGGTTTTCTTCCCATTTCCCCGCCTGCCCCACCCATGTCCCCCCACAGGCAGGATAGACGGGCGGTGGGGGATCCTGTCATGCCGGCCCAGCAGCAACTCAGTTCCCATCTGCTACCAAAACTTCCCCCGAACCATTCATCCGCCCAAATCCTCTCTACTCAATGGCTTTCCAACTTTTTTTTTTTTTTGAAATTCCCCAAGATAACGATTCATATTAAAAATATCTCTGAAATCGAAACATGAATGTGCTTGAGTTCTTGGATGAAATTGAAACATTCCAGCATTGTACAAAAGTTTTACACGAAAGCACAGAGTTACAATAGACCATTTGCTATGAAATAAAGATACTTTCAAATGAATTCCTCAACATTTTTGTTTAAATTAAATAGGAAATATTAGTACAATGGAGGTACCAATCTAAATTGATCTATATAGCGTTTCAGGGAAGGGAATAATGACCATTATTCACGTCCAGTCTGTCCAGCTCTCTGAAATGCCCGTTTGCAGCTCACTCTTCTGTCAATTCTTCATTGTCAGCGTCCTACTCCATTTACCTAGCTCCTTTGCTCCATCTACAGAGCCCTTGCTATTTGCGGCAGATTTATGGTCCGCCCTTACATGCACAATATTGGCAAAGCATTAAACATGTCCACTCTTATACACGTGAGCTCTCTCCATCGATAAGAGCCTTAATAAAAACATCTCTCTGGAGGATTTGTGGATATGTCTTTTTCACTTTCTGTTCCGCACCCGCCCCCAAAAAATGATTAGAACCTTCTACAGCCTAAACTTCTGGTTCTTCTGATGCTCTGTAAGCTCCAATGCTGCTCTTTTTCACCTTCATCTCCTCCTCACGCTCTCATTCTTCAGTCGGTGCCAGAGGTTTAATGATGCTTGAATGGCACTGCTCTGGAAATTTCTTCTCTCATGAAGGATATTTAAAAGCCAAGCCCTGAGATATCAATCTATCTTTCTGTGTCTCTCATTTATTCATCCCCTATCCATCTGCTTGTTCTGGTTCTGCCTTTTTCCGCTGGATGGCCTCTTGTTCCTCGCTTTAACTCGCATATTTAAATCCTCTATAGTACAATTTAGAAAACAGGTTTTAGGAAAAATATATCAAAGTTTTTTAAAAATTTTAAAAAGGAAAGAAAAACATCTACAGTATGTTGAACTGTCAACATGGTTGAGGTTCAATTTGCTCATTTCGGATTTTCAAAACTATTACATCAAATAATTCTTCCCCATTGAAATGATTTGACAATCACACCACGCCACAGGTTTGTACTGTATGTCCACATCACAATAACATTTGCTCTCCACATAACCTGTAAACTGAAAATACGAGCGCAAAACAATTGTACCGAATCTATTGTCTTTCCTTGTTCTTCTGGGATCTATTGACAGCTGCCAAACCTGATGAATGCCACATACTGCCAGCAACTGATACCGTCCTACACTTGCTAGGAAAACAATGTGAATTGATGGTGACTGGATGTTGTAATGCATGCTGCTGCCATTTAGCGAGGGGATCTGAATCATACTCGCATCTCAATACAAAAAAAAAAGAATTAAATGACTGCTCATATCTCAAAAAACTATTAAGTCATGGCACTCGTATCTCAAGGCCCCACTGTGTTGTGTGATATCCCCAGTGAGTCACTAGTGGATCTCAGTTCTGACAGTACAGAAGGATTAACTCGATCAGAGTGGCTGGCTGCTTTTATGTAGCCAATTATCACCAAAGGTATTGTGTTATTTTGTTTCAACATCTTACTTTTTACACTTGTGTGGTAGATAATTAAAATGAAAACCTTCATTGAACAGTTAATAAAAGTTTTATGATGGCAACAGACCCTTGCAGGGATGATTTTTTTATTTTATTTTCATAATTTCCTGCGGGATGAATCAGTTCCAAATGTGAGCATATTGGAAGTAGACCAGCTTCCTGAAATGGATTGTCTTCCACCTTGGAGTTCTTTTGTGGCATGCTCACATCCTCTGGGTGTAATTGGCATACTTGTTAGAAGAGCCACTTTTTCATCTTGTCTTTAAAAGCCTTTCGTTCCTCTCAAATCCTTCACAAACCCCCGTAGCCCCCCGGGTCAGTTACGCCGATGATAGCTAAGCAGCTGTTGCCCTCCCACTTCTTGCTCCTTTGCTGTCCACAATGTGAGCATCATAAGCACATTTTTAAATATTAACAAAGACCACTTTGCACATATGAATAATACAGCAGAGAGGCCAGTGGCTAGCCAGCGATCCCATCCACTGCCGCCTGACGGCAATAAAACTAATGCATTGCTCCAGGACACAACATGCCCATGTCTCTCATGCTGACAGGACCGGCCTGACAACCCATTCTGGTTCAAGCTTGGCCCAAAGAGATCTTTCTCTTATTTTAGTCCCCCAAAGTCCTGTGTCACCTGTTAAAGAGTGAGCGCCACTAGCTCTTCAATGACAATACTGTTTCACAGACACTTTAAAATCATTGGAATGTCACCTGTTAGAGTGAGCGCCACTAGCTCTTCAATTACAATACTGTTTCACAGACACTTTAAAATCATTGGACGTATGCCATTGGTGTTATTTTCCGCTGAAGCAAAAGTGACATGCTTAGGGTCAAAATGGAGAAACCTCAAGCGCAGGATCAACTTTTTCAGAACACAGTATAGTAAATCCTACATTTAAGCCAATATATACTGTGGATATTGAAGGTGTTTCTTTATTTGTAATTATGTATATGTGTCAATCACCTAATCCAAAGCCCATTCCAAACAGCATTAAAGCATTTTCAATAATGTCTACCACCCTGTTCAGATGGTTGAAGCTGTTCAAAACAATGAAGATTACCACACTTAACAATAGTGTACATCCAGACCTTCAAGAGAGTGTGTGACATGTTACGCACTCCAATTTTCAAGACGTAACCGCTTCTTTGATACACTTGTCTTTTCTCTACTTCTATCTTGACCTCCCAGTCCGGACTGGGACTGCTGACAATTCCTCCCACCCCCACTGTAAAGAGTCATCTCTACATTTAATTGTGATGTGTTGCAAACATTGTATAAACACACATCCCTCTTGCCAGCTCAGTAAATCTAATCAAGTCAGCAATAATGATGCCACGCAAGTTACTCCAGACTTCAGGTAATTCATGAGTATATCAACACTGAGAGCTTATTGCAGTACTGTGAGCCATCCAGCCAGAGAGCGACACAAGAGGCAGAGGAGTAATATGCACAGATGTGTCCCATCATGCATTTCACTAAATATATCGATGGCTCACCCTCTCCGAGACACAAACTCAGCTATTGCCAGGCCATGTCCCCTCCTACTAGCACTTGTCCCCTTACAGGACCTCGCTGCAACACTCCACATAATTAATATCAACATTTCACATGCAAGCATTTCTGAACAGACTACAATTTTAATAAATGTAAGCTGCTTTTCTGATCCGCATGTTTGGGGAATAATACACTCATATGTGTGTACAATGTGTGCACTCTGCATTCTAAGAAGAGGTCAGTCAGGGAAATAACTAGAGACCATGAGAGACAAGTGTGTCCTATTATTTGTGTCATGTATGCCAAAAGTAAACTTTTGTATTTGCTGCAGTGGTCATTTAGCAAATCTTGTATAAATATTATTGGTTTGTTTTTTTTTTTGCGTGTGTGTGTGTGTGCGTGTGTGTGTGTGTGTGTGTGTGTGTGTGTGTGTGTGTGTGTGTTTATGCAGATCTTAAGCCAAACCACAAATATCTGTCTTGTGTTTCAAGATGACATAAACAAGGGAGGAACAACCAGGTTTCTAAACTGCACTGACGGTCATTGTCACCTCAGTGTCCAAGTCCCATTAGCTCACCCGCAGTGACCTGGCCTTTGTGCCAAGTCAAGCATTCCCATGTGAGCTGGCTGCTGTGTGGAACAATCCAACACTCACTTCTAATAATGCAGCTCTAACGATGTACAAGTAGCTAAGTGAATTAAAAGCTACTTAACCTACTCATACAGCCAATATTCGTAATTGTTTTATATTCATTTATGTATTTATTGTAATGGCCAACAATGAAAAGGAAAAACAAAACAGTTACTCTGTCTTTTACAGCGCACCTCAATTAATCCATTTACTCAAGGTGAGTTAGTTATTATGCTCTAAGTAGAAGAAACAACGGGTTCGTACAAAGTGAAGGGCTTTTCAGTCCAGCTGGACTCCAAAAGAAATCTTGGAAAGGGGGTTATTCTGTTACAGTATTTAATTTAGAATACTACGGGGAATAACAGCACAATACGGTGTGAAAATGTTTCCATGCGTCATTGTGTGCAAGTCTAAAAGTAAAGGACGCCAAATACTGTCGACCTCATGTGATTTTGGTACTTACCGGTATCACACACGACATAACCCCCGACCAGGAGCAAAAGCACAATCGGACCGTAAGCTTGTCCACGCCGCATTCGAAAAGCGAGCATCATTTCCGCTTAGACTGCTGCGAGGCGTCCCAGGGTGCGCACACGCGTGGGTTGGCCACACCGAGTGTCTCTTGTCCAGAAAAGAGTTGTAGGAGAATATCAAACAGAGTCCAATCCCACCATGAAGTGACAGTAAACGTATCCGCTTAAACCGCTACAATAAACACGTAACGGCGTGCTTTCCCTCCAGCATATAACCTGGACAAAAAAAAAAGAAGCGATATCAATGCAAAATGGCAATATTCCCAGCAGCTTTCGTGTTCAGGTGCGATTAGGCTGACAGCCACAAAAGACACCTTCAAGAAAGTCACTAAAAAGTTTGACCGCGACTGAGTGTTAAACTGATGCGAAACAGAAAATGTTGCAGACAAAACAAAACAAACAAAAGCATTCGTTAAAATAAAATAACAAAAAGAAATATAAAAAAAAATACTCGCTCCGACAAGATCGAGGTGCAGCCAGATAGCCCTGTTCAACGCAGACTGTACAGCCGAGTCTGCTGGAGGCACTCTGGACTTGTTTCCGGTCCTCCAGGTGTAAACAAGAAGACCCAAGGAACAACACAAGCCGGACTAGCAGCCTCCGCCTAGCCAATCACGTTGCAACCTCCTCCTCCTCCTCGTCCTCTTCATCACACTGATGACTGAACAAGTGAATGGAAGTTCAGAGCAAGCGACGAAGAAATAGATTGCAGAGGAGCAAGAGAGAAAACCCGGATCCACTCAGGATTTACCAGGCTCATCTATCTATCTATCTATCTATCTATCTATCTATCTATCTATCTATCTATCTATCTATCTATCTATCTACACTTCGTGGTCCTGCAGCCTTGATCGATCATAAATCATTCTTCTTATTTTCTGTCAATCCACTCCTCTCCATCACAAACGTACCCCCATTGGCCACAAGGGAGCACCCTTTCATTAATGAGCCAAGGTGGCTGACAATTCTCTTGGCGTTATTCAGTGCCCATCACATATGATGGGAGTTCGTGGTATTTAATGTGGACACCACTCGGATATTGAATTGGAAGAGCAATTCAATTCACACTACAAGGAAGTATAATTTATAGAAGTGCACATGACTGTGAGAAGAATTTATTTCAGTCTGGAGGCTGTATCTTATGAATGATGATGATTGTACGACTAATTTCATGAGTAATTCATGTCAAATATTTTTAAGAAGACAGTGAGCTTTTTTTATTTATTCCTTTAAAAATCCAACTTGAATCTTGTAGGACAGACATAGATATACAAGATTTTTAGACACCAATGTCTAAATCAAGTTGACATTCAAGCTTTTTGCACATCATGGTATATGTTATGCAACATTTCTAGGTAGCAGGGTTATTTTTGTGCTCATGAACATGCTCTAGCACAGGGGTGCCCATTACGTCGATCCTGATCGACCGCTAGATCTAAGACAGGTCCCAAGTAGATCCGAGGAGTGTCGAGGAGAAAAAACAAACAAACCATTTTTGTGTCTTTGTACATGTTAGTAATATATTTTTTATGTTAATGTACGCTGCACCCTAATCATCCTATCAGTATCATTTTCACACAAAAAATATTTTAAAAATAAAATAAAGCAGGTAAATCTTGAATTTACGGTGGCGCGTGATTACGTCACCGGAAGTTGTTAGCGCTCAGCAGTCTTTAATTGCAGCTTGTGATCAGAGCTGTTGCGCTCTATCTTTTATCGTCATTATTCTCATTCAGAGTTTGCTTCGTGTACAATTCACCGAGGGCATGGGCAAAGAATAGGAATCTAGGAGGGCCCAGGGAAGCACTTTAAAACGGTACGTGTGAGCTACGATAGTTAACAGGCTGCAAAAGTCCATTGCATATGCCTCAGTGTCAGGCTGTTTCTCATCAGGGCGTGCGTGCGTGCGTGCGTGCGTGTGTGCGTGTGTGTGTGTGTGTGTGTGCGCGCGCCCGCGTGCCGGTCAGGGGTGATCCCTGGAGATTGGTCGATGGAAAAGTAGATCTTCGGTCCAAAAAGTTTGGGCAGCCCTTTCTAGCATTTTCTTCCCAATGCAGTAACGTTGGAAAAGACAAATTAGATACATCATATGTACATTTAGAAAATGATATATGCAAGGCTAAGGCTATGTTTTATTATTGTTGTTAAATTGTGTAATTGCCAACTGTTTTGAACCATTTCCACAATACTGTAGAGGCGGTTACCTTTGCAACATTGGTCTGAATATATTTTTGAACATGGGACCAAAATTGGACAACAAAAACAAAAAAAAAAGAGAGAGAAAAAAAATTGAGCTTATGTTCCAAGCACTCTCCAAAGCGTTGCGAAAACCCATTTAACTATTTAATTATTTATTTTGGCTTAATCCTGATCATTAGTGAAAACAGCTCTGTTCCATGTTCGCCGACTTTGGCACTGATGCAGGGAAATAAAAATTGCGTTGAGTCCACAGTCCAAAAACTGCAAATCGCTGACTACACTGTGTTAGACAGCCGTGCTTGGAGCCAATTCGAAAAGTTCAGGGAATTTGCCACCACAAGAAGCCACGGTTGTTCATCAGACTGACACCCCATGGGCGGAAGTAATAACAAACAGGAATGTTGGAAGGACATTCCTCATAACTGACCTGCCATAGCTTTTGTGTGGGCCTCGTTGAGCTTTCTCTCACTTTTTATCCAACCAATGTTGCCAAAAAAGCCACAGAGCTGGTTACGCCATCTGCCTCGCATGTGAGATGTGTGCCATTGCTGTTTCATTCTTGTGAAGCGATACCAAAATAGACTTTTGTTCAGTCAGAATAACCTGTAATACCCAAGGTTGGGAAGGAGTGTTAAGTGATCCCTACCCACAAAATCAATCTTCATTTTTTATGTTTAATGATAGTCAACAAAATGTAACAACAATTTCACGGAGTAATGGTGGTCTGCAAAATCAGTGATAATTTTACAGTTTGAGCCCTGCGAGTCCCAGGGACTCGCTGATTAGAAAAGTATGAGTCCCATTATGCATTTAGAGAGTCCCAAATTTCGAAAATTGTCTACTTATTCAATTGCATAGGATAATAACACAAACAACAACAATATACATTGATAATAGGTTTATTCCTTATAAACAAATGCTGCAAAAATTTTAACAATTCAGACATACAAGATTTGCTGAGAAATAGGTTCTTATTTCATCCCACGGTTCAGTCTTTGAGTTCATAAATTCTCCTCTTTTTACTCTGCTTCCAGTGATACAAGGCTTTCTCAAAGTCAACTTATTATCGCAAAAAAACTATCCAGCTTTAGCTGCTTCCTCTGATATCTCCGCAATAAACTTTCACAACACTTGTTTTAACGTTACACAACTTGGCAATCGTCTGACGATCTCGCCAATCTCGTCTCGCGAGAAAGGAAATCTCGTCATGCGAGATTACTTAGCGCAAGATCAAAACAACAATGGCGGCGATTGTCAAACTGCGATCGTTGCTGGAAAAAAAGATGTGCCGTAGTTTTTTTTGTGGTTTGACTGAGAAATTTCCTTGCGTCCCAGAAACGCACATTATTTGGAACTGTGCGTCCCGCCGGAAAATTGTGCGTCTCGGACGCGGGACGCAGAGGTAACGCTATGGCTGCAAAATGCTAACACCGATGTAATACCGTAATTAACTTACTGTACTTGTGAAATTGTTCATATGGGAAATTAAATTTTGTCGAAAAAGTTTGTGAAATGACCTTTTCTTTTCCAGTATGATTATGCCCCAGTGGGAAAAGCAAGGTCACTAAAAGTGTGCTTGGATGAGTTTGGCATGGAATAACCTGAGAAATTTCACCTCCACCTTTGAAATGAGCAAAAAAATGCATTAGACGTTGAAATAAAGGGTGAGGAGGGCCACTACTGAAGACCTAAAATGACAGTAACTGTCTTGGCTAGTGGTGATACCTTTTCTAATTTAAATAGTCAAGGGCACTTATTGTTTAAAGCAAAATGGGAGAGCAAAGCTAGTGGGGGACGTAACCAATGTGTAGAGAACCTTAAAGGCTATGTGGAAAACAGCAATTATTAAGAGGATAATGGGTCATTATAGAGGGCTGTTTGCTATTACAGACACTCAAGTGCATCGTATTGTAGGCTTGACATAAAAGACTGCAAACTGCATATCTCTGAAAAGCAGAGGGGCTCTAAAAATAGAAGAGGTGTTCCAGAAGATGCGATAATTGAATATTATTTTCAGGAATGATTAAGTTGACCTATTCAGGAGACTAATTATTTTAATTTTTTTTTTTTTTTTTTTTTTTTTTGCCGCCCAGAGGAGAACTTGTTTAATAGATTGTGGTTGAAGTGAATAACACCAAAAAAAAAAAGGCACCAGCCTTCAGGCTTTGGGCACACCACGAAGTCTTTTAACCTTTTCACAAGTGAATACTGCCACAGACAATAAGCTGTCTTATGGATTTGGTGTCCTGTATCTCTTTCTTAAAATGTGGTGAAAGTTGAAGGTCAGCCTCTTAGTTTCAGTTTTATTACACACTTTGGATAGTGGATAGTGGTGGTAAATCTGTCCTGTATGTTTACGCAAGTGTACATTGATCACAACATAAGAACAACTGAAAAATCTCTGATGCCAAATACTGTATGTATCAAAATATGTCACTTATAATTAAATCTGCCAGGGGAGGGGTTGATGTGAGGTGATTGTACTTGTAGATAGAGTACAGTATATTGGACTTACATGATTTAGCTACATGATAGCGTGTTTGTATTTATCTGCTTCTATGGCCCCCATACAGTTATGAAATGTAAGCCAGCTCACCACGGTGAACACAAAATAATTTTAACACTTCTCCACTATCAAGTTTCTCCAAACCATGCCTTTGAAGCTAAACTCTGTGAATATCTGCCGCTTTCAAGTGATGAAACGCTAATGTCCAAAAGTTGGCAGAGCTGCATTGAGTTTTGCTGAATGCACAGATTGGCGCTGGAGAACAGAATTGCGAGCATTAGCTTCTAATAAGTGCTACATGTCTGGCCAACAGAATTTGTAGCTGTTACCTGCACCACCGATCTGGTACACTAATTTGACAAGTCGAGTTTGGCGTCTTGGTGATGACGTTAAAATACAGTCACTGCTGTCATTATGGGGGCATGTGCAGTGCAGGTAGCTCTCACTTTTGTAGAGTTGGAGCTCAACAAGTAAGCACCCCTTAGGTCCTGTCCTTGTCATCATGCTAATAAAAGCTGCAGTACAAGCAATGGATCATTTGCATGAGATCAGAACACCCCTCTTGACTGAATCATTTCAATCAGGGTGCTAAAAGTGGAAGTAACGTGCTGTCATTCTTGATCCTTCGGGAGTTTTGAAAAATCGTGGAAAAAAAGCATAAAACAGGATGTCCATGTGGATTCAAATAAGAAACTAGCATTTGAAGACAGTGGAACTAGCCCTTTGAACGTTCTAATGTTGGTATCTTTTCTCGATGGCTGCGTATTAGCGTATAAAGTTGTCAGTGTGTGTTTTTTTGGAAGTGTGCGAATGTGTGTGTCTCCCTGTCACTTTTCATTGACTTCACCTGTCCTCCACCCGTGTAATCCCTGGACACACCTGGGCCCGTTGGCTTCAGGGCTTTTAGCAGATTGCATGTGTCACACT